GATTATATATGCAATGGTAAGTCCCAAGTGCTGGCGTAGAGCTATAATGTGCTATTGACCAGTATAATATCCCATATCCACCGAGCCTGGGCATTATAGATGACGCACTCTGACTCTTCAAACATCCATCATGCGGCGTATAATCAATGCTAATTTCCATGTACTCATCATTCATTTTTCTATAGGGCTCTCTAATCAGCCTCCTGTTGCCTCCGTCTTAGCCGTCGCTTCTGGGTACATTACAGCACTTCTTTACTCTGCGGAACTGCGAGACTGTTTTTCGTCTGGTGGCTCCTTCACTCTGAGCCAGAGGGTCTTCATTAAGTTGATGTCATTAAAAGCCAATCCTCGCTGTCGGTCTGGGAAAAATGAACCAGATCAAATTAATTTTGTGTGTGTGTGTGTGTGTGTGTGTGTGTGTGTGTGTGTTTCCCCCTTGTTCGACTGCAGTGTTTCCCTCTGAGAAATTATCACATGTGTATGGACTGTTGCACAGCCGAGGACCTTTTCCCCTATCAGGGTGCGTGGGCTCTCTAATAAGCCTCTCGCTTTTAACGAGAACCTGTTTGTGACTGACGAGCTGATTTGCATCGCAAATTTTGCCTCTGAAAAGGAACCTGAGCAAAACAAATGGAGGGAAGTCAAATAGCAGCGCCCGAAGGTCCTGCTGAAATAAACGGCCTGAAAGAGACTGGGAATGTGCATTCCGACTAATGTTTGATATTCGAGTATCTGTAAGAGTTCCTGAGTGGATGTCTGGAAAAATAATGGTTAAAAAAACAACATTGGCCAGAAATAATGTAACGCTGTAGACAGGACAGATGCCAATTGGCCTGCTTCTGTCTTAGGCCTAAAACATACTAAATGCAAGGACGCAAATGCAAATGACAGCACTCGGCCAACGCACTGCAAGCACTTGGTCTTTCTGTACAAACTCACTGTCCGTTCTTACATTGCTGTGGCAATTAAAACACTCAGTACTGAAGGGGGCGATAGAGGACTAACCAAAGAGGCGTCTACTGCTATTCCAAAAGCCTCAACAGCTACACGTGGGCAGTAGAGGAGAGTGAGCTGCTTTACCTCTTTTTTTGGAATGGAAATGTGATCATGTATCATATTTTTTATGTTTATGTAAGACATCTTTGCGTGACACTCACTTGCTCATCTGCTACAGCAGTTGAGAAAGAAACTATGTGCGAAACTGCATATCTTGAAGCCTCTGCATTCACATCCTTTCATGAACTATGTTTAGGTCCTTACAATGCGTTATAGGTGGGCCGCCAGCCAATACACTGCGGTTTTTCCGCTCACCTGATGGTGGCAGTGGCACAGTAAACTTACAGCTTGTTGCACCACACTCTGTTAATGAAGTTAGCTAAAGTGCAAGAGCCTATTTTTATCTGACCACACCTGCAAATTCATTTACTGGAAAACTTTTATTCATAACCACAGTTATTTCAGTATTGAAATATTGGCTTCTTGAACTGTTAACCGAGTGCTCGAGTACCCGTGGACGTCCCTAGAAGAAACATTTGAGATGTTTCAGATGAGTTATGATAAGACGTAGAGGAAATCATTCTACGCTTCTCCAAGAACAGGATTTTGGGGAATAATATTTTTGAAAAAGTAGCTTGATAATGTTTTCAGGATGGCACAGATTTTCATGCGAGAATGTTTTGTAATCTTCCAGCAGCCGAGGGAGGCGATGCCATTTTCGTCCATTGTAAAAGTTTCATTTTTGTCCTCTTTTCAGTTTGCTAGCAGCTTTGTGTCAGTGCTGTGCAGTGACTGGCATGTTTATTCATCTCCGCTGTAATCCCAGTGGTCTGAAGCGCGCTTGCCAGCTGGATTAGCATTGTGGCTGCAAATTTCCTCCATTGTAATTGAGACTGAAATGTTTGACGTTTTCTTCCCTCAAACGTATGGCGGAACCTAAGACAATGGATAGCAGTGCAGTGTGTGTGTGTGTGTGTGTGTGCATGCGTGAGAGACAGAGAGAGAGAGGGGCTTTCCAGTTTCTGCACTTTCCATACTGCAGGAACACCAGAAAGACGGATTTCGTTTCTCTAGAGCTCCAAAAAGGACGGCGAGCCTTGTCTTTATCTTGTCAGAAATGCAAAGTGAATGTTGAGCTAATCTGCTGCACTTCTTTAGCATTCTTAAACCCATCTGCTTTGCCTCTAACAGCGTCCCCAGAAACCCAATCAGGAGTTGTGGAGCTGTTTTTGGCTGTATTTGGCCTCAAGGCAGATCAGGCCATGTCGGTTCAGCACGTATTGCATCGGTGTGCACTGTTAAATTAGTCCGGGAGAGCAGAGACTGTTACATATGTGACATGAATCTCTGACTTGTTTGTATAGAAACCAGGTTTGAGGTCAAAAATTCAATTCTGGTTCCTGAGTGGTGCAGCATTCCAAGTCTCCTATCGTCAGGAGATGGTGAGATCAAGCTCTAGTGATGCCAAAGCTACCTGTGGCTCGGAGTCCAAGAAAGCATAGTTGGCCTCTCTGTCTTTTGGTTCCCTCTGCCTCCTCTCTTTCATGCCAGCCAACATGGGCGTCTGTTATTTGGCATTACAGAATTGGCGGTTAGCATTCTCCTCCAAGCATGTTGAGATGTCCAGTGATGTTGTGGTAGCATCATTTTGAAAAGTTGAGGTGGCGCTTCATGTGTCTTAGAGGTAGAACTAGCTAATCCTCAGCCTCCCAGCTTGGCAGCATCAGTCAGTCCAAAAGACTCTGGCTGCAGACGTGCACTCCCAGACAGATGCACTCTCAGCCCCACTGACGTCACGTGTACATGCTCTCTCTGCCACAATGGTAGAAGCGGCCCAACGGCATGTTAATAATTGGCTACTTCTGCTTAGCGATATCATCACGTAATCCATTTTTTGTCCATAACACAGCTTTTGTTCAGTGTAACTCTTGTTGCCCAGCAGTACATGGTTCACTGTTTTTCCTCATAAAACCAACAAAAACACCATTGTGGCAGAGTGGCACTGATGTCATTAATAGGCTGGTGGTGCATGTCAGGCTGAGAGTGCATGCCTGCAGCCAGACCCTTCTCAGTCAGTCAACACTGAGGGAGGGAGGGCAATATGACAATATTTTATGGTTGTCATAATAATTAAGTCATAATATGTGGTACTTAACACTGACTAACTGCATGTTTCTTTACAAAATGAGCATAATTAGGCATGATTTATTGGATTTAGTGCAGTCCAGTTTGTAAAACATTGAATAAAAAATTATTGTAGTTGTAGGTTTTTTATTATTACAGTATTTTTTTATATTTGGCACTGGAGGTTCTGTGTTGTCTGTTCCAAATCGTTAGATCTGAGAACAACTAAATGCTGCATATTGCAAAGAAAAAAAATATATGATCAATTATTATTATTATTAAAACAGTACATAAAGCAAATTTAAAAATTCAGGAAACTTTAAGACAGTTAATATTAACAAATCAAAACAATGAAATAAAACTAAAACTAAATTAACCACAACAGTTGCAGGCTGAGTGGATTGGGTTAGATCAGGGGTCAGCAACATGCGGCTCTTTTACTGCCCTGTTGTGGCTCCACAGAGGATTTAGATTTTTAGGTAAAAATAAAATCATCCTCCTTTGCAGTAAAATAAAGTTCTGCTGGTCAGTCGAACACAGTTTTAAAGATAAAAGGTCTAAAATGCTGGAGTTAATGTTGAACTGCTAATTCACCCTTTAACCCTGAAGGTTGGCGTGCAGACTGCTGGTCACCAGAGCAGCACAGAGAATCTCACCAAGCTAGCGACAAGGAAAAGAGAAAGATTTAAGACGAACATCGATAATTTGGAGCCTTATTTGGACTTATTTGTGTGGACTTATTTGCGTTTATAATCACTCCAGCTGGTTTCCTGATACATTTAATCTGCAACGAGATGCTGTCAAACACTAAAAAGTCGCAAAGCTGAAGTCAGTTTCTCGCTTGAATTTTCCCGTTCCACCTTAAATGGCACAGCAGTTATGTTCTGGTGCCCAGCAGTTATGGTGGAACGGGAAAATTCGAACAAGAAGCTGGAGAATGAAAAGCTGAGTTCAAAAATGAAAAGCTGAGCCTCGTAAAAAGTTGATGTTGAGAGACATTTTACAAGAAGCTTTTCTACTTTTGAGGAAAAGTTTCCCGCTGGAGATGCGAGAAAAGTGGCTATGTCTGAGCTAAAGCTTAAAGTAGAGCAAAGTAAGTCTGTGTGTTCATTTATATTATATATTTTAGCCTACACTAGTACATTAGCACATATTTACATAGACATATTTGCAGCTAAGATGGCAAAATGGACATGAAATGTGGTTCCCAAGGTAGTTTGATTTTTGTTGAAAGGACAAACTGGCTCTTCATAATATTTGGTTAAGATGGTCGAATGTGGAGTTTTAGAGATTTGTGGGGAGGGGGCGGGGCTTAGCTAGCAGTTTTAGAGGTTTTATTGATTTTGGTAAGTAAATCCTCAGCTTTCAATATTATTGCAAAATCCAAACACTAAAATACATTTAAGGTGAAGAAGCGAAGCTCAAATATGGGATGATGCATTTGATATTTTCATGTTTAGCTCTCTCTCTCTCTCTCTCTCTCTCTCTCTCTCTCTCTATCTTCTTCCTCTTCAATTATGAATTGTAACAAAAAAAACCTGAATGACCAAACTGCTGAAAGACGTGGTACATCTGACTAAAACATAGCATCTCTCTTTATATTCCCCAATCAAAAACAGTAATATTATCATTTATGTGTTGCACTATGAATGAATACATTTCTTCTGAATTCCAAACATTCTTACATGCCAAAGCTGCTGTTTTCAAAAACATTGATGACCTCTAAGATTTAATTAAGAATGTCTCGTCTAATATTTGAATCTTAATCTTGGTAGAAAGCTGAGAATTTCTTGTTGAAAAATGATTCTGAATCAAAACAAGTGGACCAGGTCAGACATTTGGACAGTGTTGACCAGCTGCTTGTTCTCTTTCGCTGACAGGGCTGTGATCTTCCAGAGCAGAGCACCGTTCATGTAGTGCTTCCACCGTCCGGTTCAGCGCGACACTCTGAGCTGGTGCTACAGCAGAGGCTGGGCAGAGGGGTGAACAGTTTGACCCGACTGGACCTCAGCGCCTCCCGACTGCATGCCACCTCTACCGGCCTGGCCGTCATCCTGGAGACAGAGCAGTCCAGCACAGAGGACTCTGACACACAGACAGGTACAGACACAAAGAGGTTTTACTGTTGCTTCAAATGGTCAGTGTTTTAAGAAACTCTTTAAGGAAGTGAACTCTGACCTGCTGTGTTCTAGCTTTAGCTTTTCCATCAGGCTGCATACTATTAGCAGGGTTCTGCACATCCCTCATAATTGGTCCAAATCCACTGAGATGAGCACAGTTTTAGCTTGCATTACAGGACTTTCATAGGCTCACCTTTGCCACCTTCAGACATTTTTCATACTTAGGATCATGGAAAACCTATAGCATGTGCTAAAATGTAGCTAGTTGACTATAATTTGCTGTTTAAATGACGTTGTGAAGCCTAATCTCACATCCCTGTCCTGATTTCACTGAGGACCCTCAGGCTATTACAGTTAGCTGTAAAACATGTCTCTGATTTTAATTCAGTTGTGTACGAGCTGTTTTGCATTTATTTGCACGTCTAATGTCTTTTAAGGTTTCTCCTAGTTTTTTTTTTAATAACTACTCTGATATGTATGATTTTATAAAGGACATTCATTGATACCTGTACCTATTTCTCCATTACCTGATTATTCTAGGCCCATCATGTGTCTATTGCAGTTGTGTTCATTTTTGGTGTTTGTCATTTTATGTCTTCAACTGTGTTTGGATTAATGTCTTATTTGGTCAGTGTGTTGCTTTGTTGTTGTTCTTAACGACTTGCTGGGTCAAATTCAAGGCTAAATAAATTAAAATGAAAAAGATTCATCCAATAACATTGCAGAAATCATGACCAGAGATCAAGGGTAAGATTTTAGGACAGGGATATATAATATACGACTCCACAACATCATGTGCACTCTGGCTAATATACAGAGTGCTAATGTCCAGATCCACTCAGAGCACTAATATACAGATCTACCTGGCCAATTGTAGTCAGAGGAAAACAGACAGAGACAGAAAAGGTTCTCTCTAGCAGAGCTGCAGGTTCTGAGTCCCAGCTGCTGAAAGACGAGCAGTTTGGGAAATCACTGTGAATAGGATAAAATGAAACCCACCAAAACATCTGTGGATGAACAAAGAAATCAGGGTAAGTCCTGAGAGACAAAACTGAAGGTTTGTCTCACATCCTGCACAAACAAAACAATATCCTGCATTTCAGAGATCATGAGGAGAAAATTTTACAGTTTTTTCTTTTAGATTTCTTTATACTTAAATATAGCATAGCCTAAAATCACATGCATAGCTCATATAATGCCTTATTCAAATGATCATACTCCCTCTCTTACTGTTAGAAAATGCTGTCAGTGAGGAAAAGTTATTCCAAATGTGAACTAAAATGGCCATTTTTATATATTTTTCAATACACTTTGCATATTTTTGTAAGGGAAGAGCTAATACAATAATAAAAAGCTGATAAAAAACTCATTCTCAGAAACAAAGGTATGAATTTTAAGGGCTGGCAAATAATAGTAAATTGTTTGGTAGAAGCTTTTACCATTTAAACAAGAAATAAAATTCTTTATCAGAAAATGTTGGTGATATTAGAAAAGAATTATATATATAAAACTTTCTTATAACATTCAAACTTTTAATTGTAGAAATTATATTTTAGCATACAAGATTTCATTTCTCATTGGCATAAATCTAAGCCTTCTTCCAATTCTTCAACTGCAGTAAAAATGTTTACTAACATGAATTAAACTTTAGTATGTGGTCATTTTTATTCCACATAATGAAAATTCTAGTAAAAAAATTCTTTTAACTCTAGAAATTGAAGTCAAATGTTCATTTTCATGTGTGTGAATGGCTTTCCTTTGTGAAATCCATTGTATATTGAAAAAGTAGGATTAAAACTGCAATAAAATCAATTTGAACATTTAATTAGAATCTCAGTGGTCAGTTTACTCCTCACTCATTTGGATTAAAAGCTAAACCTTCTTTTCACACACATGAGGGGGATTCACCAAACATTGATTTAGACACAGCAAGAAAAGGCTGTTTTAAGTTCAGTTAAATCTTATCAATCTGAAAACCTGCTCTAGCACATCTTCCTCCTCGTGTCCTCCTACAGCGGCAGAGATTTACTGGAAAAATTAGGCCCAGGTGATATTTTTGAGGAATTGTGTCATGTTATGAGTCTCCATCACCACATGTGTAAATGAGATAAAAGCACAGCAGTGCCTCAAATCAAGCTGTAAAACACGCCGGTAATCCTTGTTTATGAATGAGCAAACATGTTACCACGACGCTATATGCACTTCATGCCATGGCAAGTCTGGCAGTGTGTTTTATGAATCCGTCCGATGGTACTTTACAAACACAAATATTACAAATGAACACATTTTAAAACATTTACATTAAAACATTCAGCTAAAAGTAAGAAAGAAAAATGCTGAGACACTTCAAATAGCTTTGACTTAGGCCCAATCCCATTTCACCCCTCTCCCCTACCACTTAGCCCTTACTCCTCAGTTCTGCGTGTTCACGCCTAGAGGTAGGGTGTCATGGCTTTTGTTGGTATAGAGTGGTAGGGTGCAGTGTTAGGGCCACATGGCCCTCCAAATTGAAGTTTTTCAGAGACACTCCAAACAGAGTCTTTTGAGAAAAAAAGAAAAACCGGCAAGATGGCAAAGAAACCCACAAATGTCAGTATTTTAAGTCAAAAAATTACAATAACCATTGTATTATCTTGGTTTAATGTCGTTTTTATGGTCCTTTTCTTTGTTACAAGCATAAAAATCGCTAGTAGTGTGCTGATGTCTTGGTATAGCTAGCTAAGTTTCCTGTTCCACCTTAAATCGTCCAGGTCCATTTAAGGTGGAACAGGAAAATTCTAACAAAAACCTGGGAAATAGCTGACTTTAGCTTTATATACCAAATAATCAGGTCTGGGCGATAATAAATAATTGTCACATCTCCCCTCTTTGAAGGCATATGATGCCCTAAATGTAAGTAAAGCCCAGCAGGGAGGTTGCTGAACTTCACCCTCCTCAGCTATCACTGAAGACTGGCAGGGTCACCTACAGCGCACCGCCAGTAGCCTCTTAATGAAGTAATGATCTTTTTATTTGAGGGTCCCATTTCATAGGAGAACATTTCAACCACTACCCCTTGTAACTCAGTTCCAAGGGGTAAGGTGACACTCGAAAACAAGGGATAGGGGCAAAAATGAGAAATGGGACAGGGCCATAGTGTGGCAGAGAGCAGAGCATTTGATACTCACTCACAGGGCTACGTGGAACACTTACGTACGCAAAAAGGAAAAAACAAACATTTTACCCATCAGTATTGCATTCTAATGATTATCGGTAAGTCACTAAGTGGTCCCAGCTCTAGTTTCATTGACAGCAAATGAAACTTTCACCATGCAAGCAGGTGGTTATTGTATTTCCTTCTCTATTCTGTTCTCCATTCAGGCTGTACAAAAGAGAAATAACAAATAGAAATCTCTTTTGACTCTTTCTACTCAGCTAATGTACACATTTTGTGCGCCCGCCCTGCTCTCCATTAGCCGCAGCTTCTTGGCTGTCGGAGCCGTACGCCTCGCTCTTTTGTAGACGTTTTCCTTTCATTGGCTAGATGGCACTAGATGGCACTTTTTGGGGCGAACGTATTAGGTTTTTTGCAATGCAGTCACTGTCACACACGGATGCTTTTAAAAGCCGTCCTCTGTTCGTCCTTCTGGCCCTTCACCTCCCCGGCTATCACCCCGCCCGCCCAGGCTACCTCAGCCAATCATGAGCTCTCCTTATCTAACCCTCCTCTACCTTTGCTTTAAAAGCATTAGCATAATGGAGTACGCTCGCGCCAACATCATAAATTAGGCAGAGCCCGCCTTATAAAACCCTCTGCTCTAGATTTATTGGGAATCGTGTCAGGTACTGCATCCTTCTTCCTCCGTCCCAGGCTTTTAGCCCTAATGAGAAGGCCGCTTCCAGGTATGCGTGAGCGTTTTTGTGTTTATGAGTCCTACAAGGGTGAAGCAGACAGACAGGACATGTCCTCTCTTTACTAAATCATTCTCCCTGAAGATGTCTGCTTGCATTCTGTCATGGCTAACCGGATCTGCGGCTCTTTTGTCCCGAGCTTGTGGCCGTCTGTACTTTAGACTCCTTGATGGACGTTGCCCTTGTCCTTCACTCATGCTGCCTCACAGTGGCCGCTGTGGACGAGAGCTGTGTGGCACAAAACAGAAGATTTCACAGACACTTTTGTAGAGATGTTTACTGAAAGAAATGCTGATCTTATGTTCCTTCTGCCTGAGTTGAGTAGGTTCAGCTATAGACATACATGGTTCAGTATAGCAGCTGTATATGCATTTAGTCTAGGCCTGTGAGACAGAGCTGATTTATCAGTGTGCTAATGCTCGTTGTTCATGCTCAAATCCACAGAGTCCAAAGCCCATAGCAGTTTCTATGTATTCTGTAAGACGGTGTGCAGGGCTGTCCAGCCTGGGAAGCTACGCGTCCGCTGCAGAACCTGCAAGCAAGGAACCCTGACGCTCAGCCGGGTAAGTGCATATATGATTCAGCTTCTTCAAACTGTTCCATCGAGGTCCTCTCATAAATAATGTGAACAGACATGATGGAAAACATCCCAGTTACAGTGACATCATAGATCCAAAAGGTTGTTGCTCATTCAATGGTTCATCTGAAATCAATGGTATTAATAGGGAATTGGTCCTGGTAACAGCTTCCACTCTTCTGAGAAGGCTTACAGTAGATGCTGGAACATTGCTGTGAGGATTTGATTGCAGCCCCAAGAGCATTAGTGAGGTCAGGTGCTGATGTTGGATGATTTGTTATGGATCAATACAACTCCTCCCAGAAGTATTGGATGGAGCTCCATCACGGCAGAGAACACAGCTCCACTGCTCCACAGCCCGATGCTGGGGGGGCTTTGTACCCCTCTCACCAATGTTTGGCATTGGGCATGGTGACTTGAGGCTCATGTGTGGCTGCCTCAGAGCATCCCAATTTATTAACAGTACTTTTCTAGGGAGATTAAACAAGCTCTGGGTGCACAGCTGAACACTTGTATGCTGAAATTAGCTGAATTCATTAATTAGAAGTGAGTCATTAGACGGGGTGTCCGAATACTTTTGGACATTGCCCATCGTAAGTTGGAGGACATCTTCCTTTCTAATGAATAATATATGATTTTTCTTTTCAGTTAAGTTAATAAGTATGAAGTATAGTATACACTTCAAGGGTTCTTTAGTAAAGAAAATGGTTCTATATAGAAACATGAACACACTAAGAACACTTTGCATGATTAAAGGGTTCTTTGCAACGTGTTCTTCAGATTGATAGAGTGTGTTTTATATTGTCCTATATAGAACCATTTGGAAAGGGGTTCTATAAAGCACCAAAAAGGGTTCTATATAGAATCTAAACAGACTGACTGATGAATCTGGTCAGTCTGTTTAGATGTTCTATATAACACCAAAAAGGGTTCTATGTGTTTTATATAGTTATATTGTTACAGACATGACATCCTAAGAATAGAAGAACCCTTTTTGGTGCTGTGTAGAACCTTTTTCAAAAAGGTTCCATATAGAACCATCTGCAGCACATTCTCGATTAATCTGAAGAACAATTTAATGATGCAAAGAACCCTTTAATCATGCAAAGGGTTCTTTGCATGTTCATGGTTCTTTTTAGAACCATTTTCTTTACTAAAGAACCCTTAAAGAACCATCATTTCAAAAAGTGTAGTACAGAATAGTGTACAGTGTATGTGATGGTCCAATCACCTGACCTTAATCCAGTGAAGCTCCTCCAGGAGGACTTGGATGGAAAGGTTTGAAAGAATCATCCAGCCATGGTTCTACAGTTGGATATATGGTTCTAGAAAAAAAAACTTTTAACTCTTTAATCCTGAGCCAACAAAGCAACTTTGGCCTTTTCTGTTCATAATGTGATTTTCAGTCTCTTCCTTTTCTGCTGTCACATTTATTTTGTTATGCAAGTAAAATAATCCAACAAATGCAAAAGAACCTATTACAGCACTTTCAACAATAAAGGTATTATCATGCTTCTTCTATATGCTCATGGAAATCTTTTATACGGTGACAGACAGAGGCACACAGTAAGCTCCTGATCCATTTCACTGTGGCCGACATGGACATACACCCAACCAAACGTGGGGCATATTTTTATGTTTAGTTTAGTTTAGAACCTTCTAACCTTCTTGAAGCTAAACATGTTCTTCACACTGCTACTTCACACTTCCCAAGTAGTGCCACCTCAGGCAGTGGATGGTCAAATGCCTCGCCCAAGGGCACAACCAGGAATATCCAGTCAGCATTGGAGTTTGAACCTACAACATTCTGGTTGCAGGCTCTCCTCTCCTACCAACAGGCCATTGGCCACCATCCGGCTGTAGAAAGTGGTCCCTAGAACTTTGGCAACTTCTACAAGGAGTTATTTCTTATTGCAAAGACACAAAAACAGAAGTTTTAGACCAATTTGACCAAAACATTTGCTCTGTTGCCTGAGGACGGCTAAGTGACAAACACTCGCATTGCCTTAGCCTCGAGTGTGATGTGTTCAAACACAAGCCCACGTCCTGCCACCTCCACTGGGGCTGTGTGTATAGGGGGGTACACCCCCTCCCCCCATCAGCCTTGGGCTGCTGTTATCTGCTGGTCCGTATGGAACTGCACTCCAAGCACTTGGGCACCTTCCCGCTTCTCCACGTCCAGCACCGTCCGGAAAAGGCTGACTGACAAGTCGCTAAGCCGCACCTGCCTTTTCTTCCCACTCAGGGTGGTCCCAGGCGCCGAGGGACCGCTCGTCTGCTGTCCGCTTGCCAGCGTTGCCCGCTTCCCCTGCCAATCTCTCGCTGAAGCTGCTGGCTCTGAGCATCCTCTTAGCCGCACTAGCTGCCAGCTCTCTTCGCCTAACTGCGTCCTCAGAAGTTTCTCCTGATATGCAGGGAAAAAGGGGGTCTAAGGCGAAAAAATATTTTGCTTCAGAGCGCTGGGTTTTCGCTTTAGAGATTCCAGAGCAAGCAGGGATGTCAGTCAGTTTGCTATCGCCCTCCACAACTGTTCGCTGTGTTGCATCTGTTGCCTGTAAACTTTAGGGTGAGGTTTATGCCAGCATCTTCAAACGCTCCATCTCTTGATTCTGGCCCTGGAAGAAAACAGCTCTCTGCACTATTGATGGGAGTTTTAGTGTTTTTGGCTGCTATTCACCTTCAAGTCCTACAGGAAAAAACCTTTGCTACCTTTGACTCACAACTTGCTAACCAGAGGAAAAAGAGTGCTGATTGCATTTAGAGCACGTATTGCACAACAAACGCCAGAGTCCAGATGAAGAGAGACTTCAGGTTACTCTCAGTTGCTGGTCCTAGGAGAGAAGGGCACTGACGTACTACCCCATCTACACTCTCAGAAATAAAGGTAGTAAACAGTCACTGGGGCTGTTCCCCTCTTGTCACTGGGGTGGGACCCTCAAGGGTACATCTCAGTACCTTTAGTCAGGGAACGTAACTGTACCATAATCCATCGAAATTATATGTTCTAAGTTGTACTGACTCCACACACCCCGTCTCGTCTCCAGGCTTTTTATTTTACTGTTCTGTTTTAAAATATTAGATTATGAAAAGGTAGAAATATGAACTTTTCACCTGGAAAAACTTATTTAAGGTTCACAATCGGGCCTTAAAACCACTGTTGTACCTTTGAGGGAACATTTACATTGTTTGTACATTGTTTGATGAACGAAAAATGTACCTGCACAGAACCTTTATTTCTAAAAGTGTACTAGATTACTCAGTCAGAGTCTCCATAAACATTGTCCCCCTTATAGGTGGATGTTTTGTAGAATTACATCTTCTTTGCACATAGATTTTTCTGAGCAATGTTTGTTTTTTATTGCTACTTTTCTATTAAATTGCATTACTAGTTTAATGTTTTAGTTATACTCCTCAAACACTGACCTTCATGTTCATCAAAGTGTCTTGGTATGAAGAGCAGTTTTTGACAAACAGTGAGTTTCTTCTTCAAATTAATGCTAAAAGCACACATCGCAGATCTTTTGTACCTCAGGTGGTTTAAACAAGCGACAAGAAGTGTGCAGTTTGATAATATTTCCAATGTACTACTTCTTTTTTGCACAGTTTCAAAAGAATCGTGGTCACGATTTCTTAAATCGTTCCCTCGTTTTCTTTTAAACGTGCGCATGTTTTCTTTACTTCGTGGGTACATTTTTGTTTATTCGTGATGACGATTTTTTTATTTGTTCTCTCGTTTTCTTTTAATCGTTGTCATGTTTCATTTTTAACTGAACACACGTTGTTTATTTTTTTGATTCATGTGCAAAATCAGTGTAGTAGATACAGGTCATGTCATTTGTCCGGTGCAGAAGTAACTAACAGCTCCCTGAGACCGTCTGACGGGTTTTGATGAGTTAGATTGATGAGATAATGAGATGCTCATCAGTTCTGATTTTGATTTGGGGCGTTATAAGGAAACTGCAGCTCCTCTTCACAGCAAACAGCCCTCAGATTCATCAGTGCAGCTGCAGTTTGGTGGTGAAATGAAGAAAGACAACAAACTACAACCACAATCTTCACTAAACTGCACTGTCTAATGATCATATTTAACAGAGATACAGACGCAGCGCGGCCGCTTAGCGCTGTTTCTGCTCCTGCGACAAGCTGCGGTGTTAGGGGTCAGATCCACAAAAGTGCCTTAAGAAAGAAAATCTTTTGAAATGTGTGTTTTTTCTTAGCTACATTCTTAATAAAAAAGTTATTACTAGAAATAACTTGTGATTCTTCAAATTACTTCTTAAGAATTATTTTATTTTCTTAACTATTTTCTTAAGAATAAGTCTAAGAACAAGAGGTATTCTTGAAAATATTATGTACCTAAATGTTTTCTTAAACTTACGATAGCCTCACACTTGTCTTAGGCTGTAACAGTTCACAAGGTCACTGCCTGCCCATCCTCGTATGCCCCCCCACCGTTATCATATTTTCCTATTTTTTTCCTGTCGGCTGTTTCTTCCACCGTCACCTCTAGTTCTTATTTGCTAAATAAGTGCTTGGTTTGATGTTTTTACTGCGTTTGGTCCTCTGACTAAATTAAACTAAATAACAGGAATAGAAGTTAAAACAAATTGAAAATGTATTTCGCAAAATGCAACGTAGCCTACATAAAAAACAATGAAGACTTTCTTAAGAAATCTTAGGGAAAAATTAAGATGATCTTAAGAATCTTACGTGAATATTTGAGAACTTCATAAGTATTTTTTTCAAGAATTGCATTTAAGAAAATTCTTATTAACTTCTTAGTGTTTGTCTTAAGAACCTTCACAAGTTTTCTTTTAAGAAACTTTTCGTAAATCCGGCCCCAGGAGTCATGATATCTACAACACAAATATTGACGTTATATTTACTATCCAAAACAACCAGTGAACCAACACGTCTTCTGATTTTTAATTTGCAACGTGTATATATATATGTATGTATATATATGTTATATATATATATATATATATATATATATATGCATATTTTTTTCTTTCCAAACTATCATGAAACAATGCATTGGGAATTAATTTGTAAACATTTCATGTAACAACTCCCTGTTGGGTAGCTTTTATAGAGGCATTAACCACTTTAGACGTCTGGTTCCCATCACCACCACTGTGAGCAATTCTAACTCAGGTTTGTCTAGAGTGGACTGTTTCACATCAAGCCACTCTAATTGACTTTCTTTACATCTTTACATCTTTCATTATACTGAAAATAAGCTGGAATTCCCATTTATTAATCAGAAATCTGGATGTGGCTTTTAAGTGGAGGTGCCTAGGGCCCCCCTCGGCCCTCCCATAGCAACGCTGGTGCCTCAAACCCTGTGTTAGAGTTGCTGTGTCTCATTTGTTTGTTCTCATTGGTGTGTGTTTTGTCTATGCGTGTACGTGCTTGTGTTTGTTGCCGTTGGATTGTTGTGTTTTCATTGATTCGAAGTGTCTATAATTGAGTGCGGCGTGCGCGAGTCGTCCGTCGACCAATAAAGACGCGGCGTGCTGGGAATGGCTGCTCGAGACCAAAACTCTCCGCTCAATCTGCGGCCGGTGGCTCCTCACAGTCGGCACTGAGACACAGCACTGTTTGTTCAACAATAATGTAATTAGGGCTTTGTGGGGTTGTGATGTTGATTCCTGTCCATAGAGGGAGAGAGAGACGGAGAGAGACAGGGAGAGAGGGAGGAAAGGAGAGACTGATGTGAACAATGGAGGAGGTGTGTTGGTGAATAATTCATAACCACTTTTCTCATTAATCATTTACATTCACATGGAGGTGTGCGAGAGTGTGTGTGTGTGTGTGTGTGTGTGTTTTGAGCCGGTGCACTGGGGGTGTGCGTGACCTTTCCTCGCTGTCTCTTAGCAGGTGTCTTCGTGTAATCTCCAGGCCCCACCAGTGCGGCACGCTGGATTCATCCCTCTCCTCCGTCCCTCCCTCGCTCCATCCTTCCATCACCCCCACCCCCCACCGCCACCGCCCCACCCTCACAGCCTCCCATGTGGGGGAGTAATGATTTTCTTAACCTTTTCTCTCTGGCTTATTAAGGCCCCTGTCAGAATGTTTAAATGCTTATGCTAATCAGCCTGGCTTGGTCAGACGGTGTTGGGGGGGGGAGAGGGGAGTGTGTATCATCCCCAAACAATTATGGATGGAGAGAGTGTCTTAATCTGGCAGAGGGACGAGTGAGACAGTGTGACTGAGAGAAAAGGACAGGAACAGAGAGAGAGAGAGAGCAAGAGAGAGAGAGAGGGAATACATGCTTTAGGATTAATAGTGGGACTTTGCAAGGGTGTAGGACAACTTGACTGAAAGACAAGGGAGGACGATGTAGCAAAAATATAAGGGGTGTCATCATCATAACCCCACCAAGCCTTAATTACATAATCACAGTGCTTTAAGACATTTTCACGACACATGATACATGTTATGACATTGAGCCCTGTGTCTAAAATTGAGTTTTTGGAATGCGAATGCAAGTTAAGTCAGTTCTTTAGTGTCGTTATTAGCTGCGGACATTGCATCATACAAAAGCAAACTTCTGAAAACCTCAGGTTCGATATGGCTTTAAAGGATGCCTACACTATATGGACAAAAGTACTGGGACACCCCTCTTAATCATTGAATCAGGCCTTTCATTCAGTCTCATTGCCACAGATGTATCAAATCAAGCACCTAGCCATGCAGTCTGGCTTTACCAACATTTGTGAAAGCATGGGTCGTTCTAAAGAGCTCAGTGAATTTGAGTGTTGTACTGTAATAGGATGCCACCGTTGAAACAAGTCAGTTTGCAGAATTTCTTCCCTCCTAGATATTCCACGATCAACTGTGAGTGGTATTATTGAAAAGTGGAAGCGTTTAGGAGCCACAGCAACTCAGCCACGAAGTGTCAGACCATGTAAAGTTGCAGAGCGGGTCGTTGAGTGGTGAGAAGCATAGTGCATAAAAGTCACCAACGCTCTGCTGATCAATAACTGCAGAGTTCCAAACCTCCTCTGCCATCAACATCAGCACAAAAACCGTGCACCAGGATCTTCACGGCATGGGTTTCCATGGCTGAGCAGCTGCACCAAAGCCTTGCATCACCAAGCACAATGCCAAGCGTCGGATGGAGTGGTCTACAGTATGCCACCACTGGACTCTGGAGCAGTGGAAACGTATTCTGTGGAGTGATGAATCACACTTCTCCATCTGTCAGTCTGATGGATGAGTCTGGGTTTGGCAAATGCCAGGAAAATGTAACCCACCTGACTGCACTGTGCCAGCTGTAAAGTTTGGTGGAGGAGGGATAATGATATAGGGTTGTTTTTCAGGGGTTGGCCTAGAACCCTTAGTTCCAGTGAAGGGAAATCTGAAATCTTCAGCATAACAAGACATTTTGGACAATTCTATGCTTCCAACTTTGTGGGAACAGTTTGGGGAAGAACCTTTTCTGTTTCTGAATGACTTTGAGCCCCAGTGCACAAAGCAAGGTCCATAAAGGCCTGGATGGTTTAGTGTGGTGTGTGAGAACCTGACTGGCCCTCACAGAGCCCTGACCTCAACCCCATTGAGTACTTATGGGATGAACTTGAAGAGAGATTGCGAGCCAGGCCCTCTCGTCCAACATCAGTGTCTGACCTCACAAATACTCTTCTGGATAAATGGGCAAAAATTCCCACAGACACTCCAAAGTCTTGTCAGAAGCTTCCCAGAAGAGTGGAAGCTGTTAGAGCTGCAAAGGGGGGACCAACTCCGTATTAATGCCTATGGATTTAGAATGGGATGTCATAAAAGCTCCTGTAGGGTGTAATGTGTAGGTGTCCCAACACTTTTGTGTATTATACTCATTTTCAGTGCTTATAATTTTGGAAGCTTGTAAATGGAAATGGAAACACATTTATTTTCTCATGATGTACATCTATTCACCTTCTGAAAACGCTGTATGCGTTGAATGTTAGTGCTCCTGTGTCTTTAAGCCCCCCTCCCTATGAGCCCAGTGTACACTTATTGATCAGCTCACCCACTCTGTTCTGATTGGTCAACTGTCAGAGCGGTTCTGCCCCTACACATTCTGACCCTGTCTTGCAGTGTGCAGATAGACTTTTCTCTCCTGAGCTGCTGTAAACCTCACTGTGGCCTTTTGTTTTAAATGGCGTCTGTTCTGCCGTATTAGTTTGAGTTAGAGTCCGACCTGGAAAGTCAGGTCAGCATCTTCTCAACTTGGCTTGATGTGTGTTGTGTGAGGACATGCCAAGCTGCCAAGAGGTGGGCAGTAACAATTGTGTTATGAGATGACATCACCATGTACACTAAAAACTGTAAAAGCATAATAGGTCCCCTTTCAATAATGAGGCAAAACAATGGTTGGTTAGACTGTATAGCAAGTGCGTTACCTGGCTAGCATGATAGCTAATGCAGCTGAAAATGTAGTAAATATTATATAATGTAAATATTATTTTGTAACTTACTAAAACTTCTTCTATATAGTTCTGACAAACTGTTGTGCTAGCACAATAATTTGTTCTGTGGCTGAACTGACAACTACCTTAGACTGCGTAGTGAACATAGCTACACGTCCACTGAATTTAGTAGGAAATAAAGCCACAGATTGAGCGTTAAAGAATTTTACTGGACTCGAACGGCACTGCGGAGTTTGCCTGTTCTCCTCGCGTCTGCGTGGGTTTCCTCCGGGTACTCCGGTTTCCTCCCACAGTCCAAAAACATGCAGTTAAGCTAATTGGACATGCTAAATTGCCCCTAGGTGTGAGTGTGTGTGAGAATGTGTATGTATGTCTGCCCTGCGATGGACTGGCGACCTGTCCAGGGTGTATCCTGCCTTCCGCCCAATGACAGCTGGGATAGGCTCCAGCACCCCACCGCGACCCAGAAGTATAAGCGGTTTAGATGATGTATGTATGTATGTATGTATGTATGTATGTATCTATGAATGGCACTGCAGTAATGGCTGCGCTTCACTGTAGCAAAACTGAAAGGCCGAATCACACATGTAAGGTTAAAAATGAAAGGTGTCGCTGTCTTGAGTCCCCATCTTTGCAGCACATTCATTTATGCAGTATCAGTTGTGACTATCGGGTGAAACCGTAGACAGCTATGACGCTTGGAAACCTCTTCTAAATATGTTCAATGCAATACCCAAAATGGCTTAATTTAACATGATGATATATCATCATTTCGCCCACTCCTACAAAGACGTCCAAGATAAAAACTCATCAGCTCCCGCTGTACATTAAGCCCTCATTTAGTGCTCTGCGAATCCATCTCTCTGTGCTGACCACTTGCTCCAGATTAGCTGCAGTCTTATTCCAGCATGCCCTCAGCGACGGTGCTGACCATTCAGAAGAAAATGGGAAAAATGGAATTATTTTAATGGTGATTTCAAGTGGTAAATTGGTTGAGTTTGAAATTGGCCATGCCTAGAGCGGTTCTTAAAACGTAAACTGACCACTCTTTTTCCTTCTCACAGGGACCATCGTGTTGGGACGACGTCCTTCTCCCAGATCGGATTCACGGCGTATGTCAGTCGCAGGACTGTGATGGCCGAGTGGCGGTGAGAGAGCAGCTGCCCTCTGTTATCACAAAGAGCCAGGAATGCGGGAAAGCATTTTAAGTGTGGGATGCTGAAATTTTAAGCAGCAGAGACATACTGCGCACGGTGACGTCACACTAAGTAATACACAAAATAAGATTTTCTTTTCCGTTGAACTGAATAGTCTGAATAATTTCCTAAATGGAAATCGATACAATGGCAATATATGGATTTCAAATGTATGACATATATTAACATATATGGATATTCAATTTATATTTGTCACAGATGGACATATGTGTAACATACACCGATCAGGCATAACATTATGTCCTTGTTTCTAAGCTCATTGTCCATTTTATCAGCTCCACTTACTATATAGGTGCACTTTGTAGTTCTACAGTTACAGACTGTAGTCCATCTGTTTCTCTGCATACTTTGTTATTCCCCTTTTAACCCTGTTCTTCAGTGGTCAGGACCCCCATGGACCCTCACAGAGCAGGTACTATTTGTGTGGTGGATCATTCTCAGCACTGCAGTAACATTGACGTGGTGATGGTGTGATAGTGTGTGTTGTGCTGGTATGAGTGGATCAGACACAGCAGTGCTGCTGGAGTTTTTAAACACCTCAGTGTCACTGCTGGACTGAGAATAGTCCACCAACCAAAAACATCCAGCCAACAGTGTCCTGTGGGCAGTGTCCTTTGACCACTGATGAAGGACTAGAGGATGACCAACACAATCTGTGCAGCAGCAGATGAGCTATCGTCAAGGTGGACTGACAAGGTAGGAGTGTCTAATAGAGTGGACAGTGAGTGGACACAGTGTTTAAAAACTCCAGCAGCACTGCTGTGTCTGATCCACTCAGACCAGCGCAATACACCACCACCACATCAGTGTTACTGCAGTGCTGAGAATGATCCACCACCCACATAGTACCTGCTCTGTGAGGGTCCATGGGGGTCCTGACCACTGAAGAACAGGGAAAAAGGAGAAACAGATGGACTACAGTCTGTAATTGTACAACTACAAAGTGCACCTATATAGTAAGTGGAGCTGATAAAATGGACAATGAGCGTAGAAACAAGGAGGTGGTCATTAAGTTATGCCTGATCGGTGTATATGCCAACTTATTTGAAATTGGCTATTTTTAAATATGGGAAATATATTTTAGCCATATATACATACATCATCTAAACCGCTTATCCTTCTGGGTCGCGGTGGGGTGCTGGAGCCTATCCCAGCTGTCATTGGGCGGAAGGCAGGATACACCCTGGACAGTTCGCCAGTCCATCGCAGGGCAGCAGACAGACATACACACACACACCAAGGGGCAATTTTAGCATGTCCAATTGGCCTGACTGCATGTTTTTGGACTGTGGGAGGAAACCCACACAGACACAGGGAGAACATGTAAACACCACACAGAAATGACCCTGGTCGCCCGGCCGGGAATCGAACCCAGGCCTCTTGCTGTGAGGCGACAGCGCTACCCACTGTGCCACCGTGCTGCCCTTAGCCATATATCAACATATATAAATATATATGTGTTACAATTATCTTTAACAATATATGCTAAACATTATTTCTGTATGGATGGCATGTAGTGCTTGTACTACACTTGTACTTCATGTTATATAATTTTTATTGCATTTATGTTGCTGATGTATTTAATTTTGAATTTTTGCTTTAAAAAAATGTTTGTATCAGACGTATATGTATGATCCATGTATCAGACATACGTATCAGACATAACAGAAATTGGATGAATCTTTTTTAATTACCCTGTATATCAGACAAACAGTATATAGGTATGATCCATATATCATGCATATGTGTTCACTCACCAACCAGGCACATACTACAATCCATGTATTATGCATATATGTACAATATTTGATACTTATCTGTGTGCATAACATGTTATGTACATATATTTTGAAACACATGGCTGACCCTTTATGATATATGTGCATGTATAGGGGCTAGTTGATACTGATAATGATAATGCAATTGCTACTAGGCAGGGAGAGACAACAATGCAGCTCAGTTGTACAGCAAAGACTGTGTCAACGACAAAATGCAACATGATATGCTAATACAGATTTTGAAAATATATAAACGAAACATTAAAATACAAAATGTACTCTATAGCAAGTGTACATAGGTTTTTACTGTGCACAGAATACAACATCTCAGAGCCCTTTTATTTTTTATAGCACTGTTATCAGGTACCGGGCAGTTAAAGAGTCCTGAAAGTAGAGGGTACTGCAACGTGCTCTTCACCTACACTTCCAGCATTACAGCAGAGAGCACCGTACCTTCTCAGCATCAGTGTCACTTAAATCCATACTGAATACATTCATTGATTTCTGTGTGAAAATCCTGTTTTCTGTGATTGTTTAGGAGTTTTATCTGAAGTGTGCGGCTCATCCCACCTGTGACAATGACACGTCGGTGGCACTGGACCTCATCATGCCTAACGTGAGGCGCGTCCCTTGCATCGCCTGCACTGATGTCCTGTGAGTGTCTCTCATGTTGTCTTTGATGCTTGGCTGGGTAGCAAATCGCTGCTCTCTGAAAAAAAAATTATATCTGAATTTTTGCCACTTTTCAGTTTTTCACAATTTCAAAATGCCTGTTTCTCTTTAAATTGTGTATAAATTTAATGATGAAGAGACCAAAAGAAATGGTCCAAAATGACCTAGAAAAAAGTCTGGTTACGTTACGATAAAAATTATTTATCTAATAATATAAAAAGTATTTTTTTTCTTTGCCTGTAAAATTATCTTGGAGATTTTATTTTTCGAGAAGCAGCAAAATGTTAGGAGGCGCTACCCATATTTGAAAAAATACATGGGCATGTATTTTTTATACCTGAGATACACTCCAAAAAAAAACTATTTGATATAGTATATAAACATTTATAAACTTTCAAAACATATCATTTGCTCCTCAGCCCATATAGAAAACCAACACGTGCATATATCCGCCTATTTAGCCTAAAGCAGTTTAGCTCCATTCACTCACACTAAAGTGATAAGGAGTGTTTCAGCTTGAAATACAGGGCAGACAATCAGATCCAAGCTCATTTACATATATCAGTTTAAAGGCACAGTAACAAAAACACCTTGTTTAATTCTAATGGACAAAGAGTGTTTGGAAAATAGTCTATTGAAATGAATTATGACTCTTTTGTGCTATATAAAACCAAATTTAGTGCTGTAAATGGACCTCAGGGGGAAAAATAAATGTAAGAATTTGTAGGATATGGTCTCGTTAAAACGTTTTTGTCCATATTCATTTTCAGATTTCAAAAACATTACATATTTATTTTTTCCCATAAGGGTAACAGTGTTCCTCTCAAGAAGTATATGTTAAAGTAAATATGTTAAATCTGTGTCTTTGTATGTCTTGATATAGACTTTTAGGAAAGTGAACATTCACCTTTGTTAGCCTGGTGCTAGGATAACAATGACAGTCCCTTAGACATGCCAGCAGAAATCAGCATTATCACAGTGGTGAAACAAAGGTGAAAAAACATTTCATTGACTCGCTTTTTCATTATCATTTGTGTGATTCAACAAAACTAAAGCAACTAAAGCAATATATTTGAGCTTTTAATGAAAATATTCCTTCTTCCAGTTACCACTAGCAGTGGCTAGTCATTTTCAGTCATTATTAGCAGTGTGCAAGAATATTCTAGAACAGGTTGGCAGGAATCGCTAATCTGGCTAACAGTGATATAAATTTACCAATTACACACCAGTTACCACTGGCGGCGGCTAGCATTTTCCAATCATTTTTAACATTGAAATAAAGGAAATGGTTTGACTGGAACTACTAATCTTACCAACAGTGAATAAAATCTGCCAGTTACCCATCAGTTAGCACTAGCGGTGACCAGTAATTTTGATTATTAGTAGCAGCGCTAGCATTTTTGTTTTAAATCACAAGGTGGCACGGTCACCAAAACACCAGCCTCAGTTCTGGCTAACTGATCTTCCATGGCTTAGACACATGAGCTTTGTGGCTGACTCACACAGAGACACCAGCTCAGGAACAAAGCTGCAGCACAGGAGCCTGAAGGAACAGGTGATTAGCGCGAACAACCTAACTGACGGCCAGAGCGCTTCAGTGGCTAAAATCCAGCTCCCGCTGCGTGGGCCCTGCAATCACCAGCTTCGTTCCCGTGTGTGGGGACTCGCTGAAGGTCAGCCATTAGCAGGGCGGTTCGGCAGAATTGTTCCCACCTTTCGCTCTGGGGGAGCGAGAGAGAGGGAGAGAGAAGGGCAAGAGCGAGCACAATAGAGCCCAATCACTGACACCCTCCATTCAAATCAAGGGCTGATTGAAGTGGCACAGCAATTGCCCTCCTGAGTGGGCCTTTGTTTTGCCTCCGTCCTCCACTTCCTGTCTCCTTCCTCCTCCTCTTCTGAGAGCTGCTGGCTTGGTTGGAAAAGGGCAGAGGCAAGGACACAGTCACGCTCTCCGAGCTCTGCGAGAAGAGGGGTCAAAGAGGTCAAACTCGCCGCCGGCAGGTTGACTTACGATCGAGTGTGTGCCGTGGAGAGCGTACACTTAATGGATGGGGAGTTCTTGAGAACTGCCGAGAAAATGATTGCAGAAGTCCACTGGTGAGGCTTCATATATGACAGGCTCTTTTGGGATACAAGTGCCGTTTCTGAGTGTTGTGGACTTGATTGGCAAAAAAATAAGCGGATTGAAAACAAAACAACAAGATAGAGACGTTACTGCTACCACCACACACAGACTCTCTGATCAGCGCTGGAATATACTATATAAATAAACTACCAAATACTGTGTATCAGAATATGATGTTTAAGTTTGCATTAATAGAGATAGTGAAGTTACTGGTGGTGTATGTGAAAAGAATATCTTACACTCCTAATATACAGTTGTATGCAAAGGTTTTGGTGCCCCTGGTCAGTACACGTCCTGTACAAGGAACACACTTCTGCACATTTTAGTGTTTAAAAATGTATTGTTTATTTGCTGAAACAAACACACACATATTGTCTAAACTGCTTATCCTTCTGGGTCACAGAGATGCTGGAGCCTATTTCAGTGGACGTTGGGCAGAAGGCAGTAAACACCCTGGACAGTTTGCCATTCCATAGCAGGACAGACACACAGCCATATACGCTCAAACACACTCACACCCAGGGCCAATTTAGCGTGTCCAAATGGACAGACTGCATGTCTTTGGACTGTGGGAGGAAGCCCACACAGACACGGGGAGAACATTCAAACTCTACACAGAAAGGACCCTGGTCACCTGGCCAGAGAATCTAACCCAGGCCCTTCTTGCTCTCCACCGTGCCGCCCTGAAAATTAAATTTTATGGCACATTTTATATTTTGTGTGTTACTTTTTCCAATGTGTTAAATTCAGCAAATAAATAGAAATCGTGCACTATACTTTGCAGTTAAATGTCATATTAAAGTTTGCTCCCTGTGTTAATTTATTTTTGCTTTGAAAATCAATAAAATGGGTAATTTGACCAGGAATATTCAAACTTTTGCAAACGACTGTAGTTTGTTTTGATTGTTACCTTATGCAGTATTGAATGACATTTTATTTCATTTTAATGGTTAGTTCTGTTCTTTCAAAAGTGTCTGAGAAGGATCTGGCTATTGGAAGCACCCAGCAACTGACACGGCAGTTAACTGTCAGGTCCTGAACGCTATGTGAAAAGAGCACAAAAGAGAATTTAGGGAGTGCCCATTTAGGTACAGCCGTGCACGTTCAAGCTAAAGTTATAAGGAGTGTCTCAGTCCAGTCTTCAGTTCAGTCCTGCTTTTTAATTGAGGCACAATACAGGGCAGCCAATCAGAATAGAACTCATTTACATATGTCAGTCTTAAAGTCATAGTCGCAAACCGATACAGCCGATATACATCGCCCAGCAGTACTCTGAATAACGACTGTGTCCTCTTTTGTTTCTCTCTCTCTCGCTCACACAGACACACACACACACACCTTTCTTTTGTACGGCTGATATCTAAACTAGATCGCCCTCCTGCCTATTTCCTCCAGCCCCTCTCTGCCCCGAAACATGCTTTTTCCTCCAGAGGCTCATCTGTCTTCAGCCGGCCTCAGGAGGCTGCAGCCAAAACACACACACACACACACACACACACACACACACACACTCATAAAATGTATCCTCCTGCATGCCAGTTGTAGACGTTTTACACACATAATCTCTCCCCTGATTCCAGTTCATTTACAGCTCACCCATGTGATTCCACTGTAATGAGCTCCTGTATGAGGGTTAATAGTAATAGTTGATGTGATGGCTCATCCGCTGCTCTGTGTTCCGTAGGTGTCCTGTGCTGGTGGCTCAGTGTGCCGAGCGTCATGTGATCTGTCTGGACTGCTTCCATCTGTACTGTGTGACCAGACTGAACGAGCGACAGTTCATCTTTGACCCAGTGGTGGGCTACTCTCTCCCCTGTGCTGGTAGGCATGTCCAGTATGTCTCCACTAGCGTGAATGAATTACTGTGTGTCTGTGTGTGTGTGCATGTTTGTTTTTGTACACATTCAGGACTAGAACCACCCTAATGCAGGAGCTAGTGGTGCGTGTAAAACCTGCCGGATTAGTTCATTATACCTACAAAATAAAAGTGAATAAGACAATGTTTGTTTGAAATGCCATACAAGTAACACCAAAGGCATACAAATTGGCTTAAAATGAATACGGGGAGTGAATACGCAGGACTGATTCCCTCTTTATAAGCTGGGGTCCACTGTATCTCTGATCTTCGTTTGAACTGTGTAAAAATACAATTCAAGACTCCTTTGCTCCCTTGAGACTTCGATATTACAACATATATAATATCTATATTTATATATGTATGTTATTTCTGAATATATAACAACAGTGATATATAATATGATGATTAAAGCAAATATGTTCCAATAACAACATACAGCTTCATCTACAGCTGCTGACAGAAACCAATCAGGTTAGCATAGGTCATTAATATGGCATGGGGCTCATGTACAGTGTCATACATGAAACTCATGATTTTATATATATATATATATATATATATATATATATATATATTATATATATATATATATATATATATATATACAGTTGTGCATGCTTATTGAACACCTTGGTAAAATGATGTTTTTTTTTATTTAAATAAGTTAACACATCAAGTTAACACACAAGTTGGCATACTTAAAAATGGACAAAAATGCTACTGAAGTGCCTGTGGCACCCACTGGTGGGGAATCTGAACTATTGTTGTGAAAATGATTATCTGTAGATGTCACAAAATGACCATTACAGTACAAACCTTTTAGTGGCTGCATGTTCCACCCTCGTTTCCTGTGACTGTAGCCTCTTGATCTCATACTGCTATGTAACATCTTGTTTTGCAGGGAACTGTATCTTTCCACTTATATATTATTGTTATATTATACCATTACTATTACTATTGTTACTATACTGCTTGTTGATTAATTCATAGTTCTCCTGTGAGCACTGTCCAGTGTAGTCTGCAGAAGGCATTTTCCAGTGCTAATGTTACTGATAATACTGATATTACCAGTATCAGGGGTGTTACAATGTCTACAACACACATATAGCTATTTTATTTACTGTCCAAAATGACCAGTGAGCCTACACATGTCTTTTAAGTTTTCATGCGTAGTAAAATAGTGGTAAATCTGAAAAAATACATATTTTTCTGGGTTATAGCCAGTAAATGCTTCAGACGTCTGGTTCCTATCACCACCACTCTGAATGACTTTGTTTACATCTTAACTGTTTAATTACGCATATTTTGTTTAAAAAATCAGTGCAATGTTCATGTACCACATATGTATGCCCCCTCTCTGGACTTTGTGTTAATAGAAGTGTGTGTGTGTGTGGTTGTGTTTGTTTGTGTGTACTTGTATGTGGCGTATGTGTGTCCTTGTGTGCTGCTGCTGTGCTTGGCAGTGATTGATGGTAGTGTGTTAGTAGCTGCAGGAGAGGAGGAGATGCTATCAGGGTGTTGTGTATACACACAAACACTCACACGCACACACACAAAGATACAAAAACACACTCGATGTGGCCCCTCACTGTGCCCCTGCCTGCCCACCACATCCGTTACTGCCACCCTGTAATGGGGCTCCTGAGAGAAACACTGACCCCCCGTCAGCCCGAGCATCCACCATATCTCTCTCTCTCGGTCTCTCGCGCTCTCTCTCTCTTTTTATCAGTTTGTTGCTCTGTCAAGCTCTTCTGTGGTCTCTTTCTCTTTCTCTGCCCTCAGAGCGTGTCGTACAGTTACAGTTGACTTTGTCTGCCAGAGGTTGATAGTGCAACCATATAAGCCTCGCGGGTTATCTCACTCGCAGTGATGTTTGCTCACATGTGGCCCGAAGTCTGTAATTTTTAGCACACGTGCGTGCTTGTGTGTATGTGTGTGCGGTTGTTGCGTCGGGCCTGCCGGTGACGTCGCGCGTTTGAGGCCATCTATCACTGTTTGTGCGGCTGCGGATGGGAGATTGCGGAGAAAGGTCAAGCTTCAGCCTCAAATGCCATTTCCACTTTTAAACAACTTTTAACAGTCCAAACCAAAGCGCTTGTCCAAAAGGCACGGATGAAAGAAGAGGAGCGGAGGTTGCAGGCTACGTCTGCTGCATATGAAATACAGATTGGCCCTGATAAACAGACCTGCAGGAGCTTAAGAAGCCTTTCCTTTCTCCCCGGAAATGCAGCAGCGCCGGGAAAAGAAACAGCCCTAACCTTCCTTTGAAATGAGCTTTAACACACACATCTATTACAAGCTGCCTTCAAAGCCGAGGAATCTCCGGTTAACATTTACACCCACCTTGATGCGTCCAGGTGATCGGGTTTAAACGTGAAGTCGATTTCTTGCATGCATGCTTTTGTTTACTCTTTTTCTTTTGATGTAATTCAGGGCGTGAATGCAGTCTGTGTAATTATTGGGACTTTATTCCGAAGCTTGCTGGGAAGATAGGGTGTTTTTTCATATCTGAGAATATAAAAAAAGTCTTTGTGGTCTATTTATAGGACATAAATAAGGGTGGAATTCAGTATGATAATTATCACGACAGTTGAGCCTCAATACTTCTATGATTTGAGTTTTTTATGTTTGACTCCAAAGTGAAGAGTGAGATTTATGTAATAAAGTTAACACTTTGTTCATCTCACTTCATTTTTTTAATGATGTAATACATAATTATGAAGTAGACAAGCAACATGCACTCAGTGTTCTTGTACATCTTTTCTGGAGCGATATACAATCCAACATTGGGGGTCTGCCTCAGGGAATCGTATTGGTATACTACATGGCCAAAAGTATGTGAACACTTCTTTTAATGACTATGTTTAACTGTTTCAGGAACACCCGTCGCCAAGATATGCATCAAATCAAATATTCAGCAAATGACAAACAGTAGAAGTAGAATAGGTTGTACTGAAGAGCTCAGCAACTTTCAACATTGCACTGTCGGAGGATTCCACGCTGGTCAGTTCATCAGATTTCTGCCCTGCTAGAGCTGGCCTAGTCAACTGTAAGTGCTGTTATTGTTAGTATTGTAAAAGGAAACATCTAATGACTAAAGCTCAGGTGCAAAGTGGTAGACCACACAAGCTCACAAAACAAGACCACCATGTGCCAAAGTTTGAAGTGCGTAAAACAAATCATCTTTACTAATTTCAAAACTGCCCCTGGAATCAAGGAGTGTGTTTACATGCACTCAATAATCCGATCATAATCGGATTTCTGCAGTTATCCAATTATTCCAATGGTCATGTAAACACCATGTGTGTGAAACAGATGGCTGTATCGGAAATAAGCAAGCAGCCTTGTGAGATGGCAGCAAAAGACTTTTGGAGAGACGCTGGAACCAACTATATTCTCAACGAAAGGATTTAAATATTCTTCATCTTCTAGATGATGTTTGTTCATTGAGTTTTACTTTATGTTACGTCGCGTCTTCTTCTGTGAGTTTATTGGCTGGTTGCAAAGCAGAAATCTGATTACTGTCTGACTCCTGTAGACCTGGAGTTTTCGCATTATCTGATTTCTCCATTGCATATAAACGCGTTGATCGGATCACTGACAAAAACTAATTTTTTCTGCAGTTATCAGATTATTAAGTCCATGTAAACTCACTCATTGACAGCACAAGAACTGTCAGATAGGGGATTCATGGATTTGGTTTCCATGACCGAGCAGGTACATGCAAATTCAGCATGCGTAATGCCAAGTGTCGGCTAGAGTGGCGTAAAGCGTACTGCCACTGGAGCAGTGAAATGCGAGAAGTGAAAGTGAAGTAATGAACCACACTTCAGCATGTGGCAGATTCGCGGATGAGCCTGAGTTTGGCAGATGCCAGCAGGACACTTTCTGTCTGAATGGACTATACCAGCTGAAAAGTTGGGTAGAGGAGGGATAATGGTCTGGGGCTGTTTCAGGGTTTAGGCTTGGCCGTTTAGTTCTAGTGAAGGGAAATCTTAATGCTACAGCATACAACGACATTTTAGAGAACTGTGAGCTTCCACCTTTGTGGCAACAGTTTGGGGAAGTCCTGTTTCTGTTCCAGCGAGGTTGATAAAGGAAAGCGTTGCTGAACTTGGTGTGGAAGAACTTGACTGGCCTGCACAGAGACCATAACCCAACTGAACACCTTTGAGATGAATTGTACCGCTGACTGTGAGGCATGGCACGTTCCAAAATCTAGTGGGAAGCCTTTCTAGAAGGGTAGACCAGCTCCTCATTAATGCTCTCACTTTTAGAATGAGATGTCTGACGAGCACACATGGATGTGATGTTTGGGTTTCCACATGCTAGTGATGTTCCTGATTCCTGCCTGGACTGGGACTACACTATTTAAAACCACTGCTGGACACCTTTCTCTCATAGAAAAGGGTAAACAGAGTTCTTTTCAATAAAAGTATCACAACATTATGATGCACCGGTGTAGATATGGGGGTCCTGGGGGGCCCAGATTTCTGACCGCTCCAAAAAAAAGGTGCTGAGGTCCATCCTTGTGCCTTTTTATCCAACTTAAATAAACAAAAGTGACTGCCAATAACCACAGAGAGGCCATGAGGTAGTTATAATTTTCTGGATGGTTATTTTGAAAAAATGAGTAAATTATCTTGTTATCTCAAGATAACAAAATTGTTAACTTAAAATAATGAGTTACTTATGTTGTTATCTCGAGATAACAAAAGTTATCTTGAGATAACCAGTTAATCATCTTGTGATCTCAAGATAATGAAGTCGTTATCTTGAGATAGAGTTTATTATCTTGTGATCTCAAGATAGTAGAGTTGTTATCTTGGGACAAAGAGATAATTATGTAGCGATCTCATGATAACAATGTTGTTATCATGAGATCAATGTTGTTATCTTGAGATAACAAGATAATTAACTTGTTATCTTAAGATAAAAATCCAGAAAAGTATACCAACAGCTC